TAGTCTTTGTGTGACATACATGTAACATATGTTTAAAGTTTTACTCAGGAATATAAAGGAAATGTCTTTAAAAATCTTCTTCTCTAGAACAGCAAAGCCATAATTAGTCATATTATAATAGAAGTATCCTCAGGTAGTGTAGATTCAAGTTTGTTCCAATCATGAGCCCTGGGGATAGGGCAGGGCCACAACAGATGGTCAATGTTTACTATAGGAATATACAGGAAACATCTTCTTTTCAAGAACAGTTAAGTTATTATTAGTCATATTAATACAGAAGTATCCTCAAGTATTGTAGATTCAAGTTTGTTCAAATCATGACCCCTGGGGGTAGGGCAGGGCCACAACAGTGGGTCAAAGTTTTACTTAGGAATATATAGGTGTTACGGTTAAGGGGCATTTGTAATGAGTAAAATGCATAAAAGACTTCAAATAGTGGAATGACCTGAAAACCCTTGGAATGGGCTAGCCAAAGGGTATATAAGGCAAAGCTTTGGGAAAGTCAGGCACTCAGAAGCTAGATGAAGAAGTTGGTTGTTGAATCAGCAATTATGAAGTTAAGATAATTCAACCCTAATAGCAACATATTCAATGAACATGATGAAATTGAATACATAACAGATGTGTAGGCGTTGAGTACTCAGTATGGGTAAGGGCTTTATCATGCCAATGCCTACTGTGACACAGGGCTTCGGTTTTTAAGGTCTCATCTGAAAGACCTGCAACTTTCACTCCAAAGTGCTGAGCTCTTGTTGAAGGAACAGTTGCTACCTATTTTTTATCAACTTAAGTCAGTGGCAGCTGTGATTCAAATACACGACCTTCCGATCACGGAGCAAGCACTCTACGGACTGAGTTACCATGACGGTTGAGTAAATCTGAAAAAAATCTTTAAAATTCTTCTGTTTAAGAACAGCAAAGCCATGATTAGTAATATTGATATGGAAGCATCCTGAGGTACTGTAAATTTAAGTTTGTCCTCCTCCCACCCCCATGTTCAATACTGAACTGTTTTCTGCTTCTTTCTAACCTGTGTGCTCAGGTGAGCGATGTGGCCCATGGGCCTTTTGTTTTAAATATATAATGCAGGCGTTTAACATGCATTCCGGTCAAATTACCGTTGCAGTATGAGTAATTATCTCCTTTATGGTTAAAAAAATTCTTACACACATACCTTATCAAATCTGCATCTAGCTTACAGCAGTTACTATATATATACTTTTTAGGTCACCTGAGTCACTCAAATGACCTATTCAATCTGTTCAATGCATTGTACGTTGTCCTTTAACATTTGAACATTTTCAGCTTCTCCTCTGGAACGCTGAACTAATTTCAACCAATTTTAAGATAAAGCATCTTTGAGTAAAGGGAAACAAAATTTTGAATTATGGTCCCTGCCCCCCTGGGGCTTAAGAGGTGGGGCTAAAACCATCAAAATTCGTGCTTTCTTTAAAAATCTTCATCTTTACTCCTGGACATCAAGCAGTCAAGCTGTCTGCATGATTGTAATTAGCATTGAGCTCTCTTCCAAAATTTTGAATATCATGGCCCCATGGTCAGGGGTTCTGAAGTTAGGGTGGGGCTCTTGGATTGTATAGTGGAAATGCATATTAAACTACATGCATAGTTATGATGAGCAAGTGTGCCTCTTCAAAAATTGTAAATTTCATGGCCCCTGGGTCAGGAGTTCTGTTGTTGGAAGGGGGAGGGTTCTATTGATTATATAGTGAAAATGCATTTATTCTTTGAATTATTTTTTCTGTTCTCCTTGGTATTCACTATTTAGCAAACAAATGTATTGTATAGTTATGATGAGCAAGGTTGCCTCTTCCAGAATTGTGAATTTGATGGCCCCTGGGTCAGGAATTCTAGTGTTAGGCCTGGGCTTTATTGATTATATAGTGAAAATGCTTAAATTCTTTGAATGTCATCTTCTCTGCTCTTTGATACTTAGCAGATAAACCAAGTGCATGGTTATGATGAGCAAGAGTGCCTTTTCCAAAACTGTGAATTTCATGGTCCCTTAATTGGTCTGTTGTTTGGGGAAGGGGGTCTCTATTGGTTATATAGGGAAAATGCATTATTTCTTTCAAAATCTTCTGTTCTGCTTCTGGGTATTAAGCAAACAAACTATATGCATAGTTACGATGAGTAAGGGTCCCTCTTCCAGAATTGTAAATTTCATGGCCCCTGAGCAGGGGTTGTGGTGTTAGGGTGGGGCTGTATTGATTATATAGTGATAATGCATTATTTCTTTGAAAATCTTCTTCTTTGCTCCTAGGTATTTAGCAAACAAACATAGTGTATAGTCATGCTGAGCAAGGATGCCTCTTGAAAAGTGTGAATTTCATATCCACTGGGTCAGGGGTGCTGGTATTAGGATGGGGCTCTATTGATAATATAATGAAAATACATTATTTCTTTGAAAATTTTCTCTTCTGCTCCTGGGGTTAAGCAGATAAATTAAGTGCACAGTATGATGTCAGAGCAAGGGTGCATCTTTCAATATTTTGAATTCTGTGGCCCCAAGTTCAAGTGTTCTGGTGTTGGGGGGGGGGGGGGGCTCTATTAATTTGTTTTCTACTAAGAGAAGTTATTCCCCTTTGCTATTCACCTATGATGATTAATCACTGTAAATCTAAAAAAAACACAATTTTGAAGAGCATTTGACTTATAATGATGTGGGACGTCCTTGGAGACTTTTATCATTCAATTAGAAGGAGATATTTATAAAAAAAAAAAAAAAAGGCTGTAATGTAATTGAAGATCAATTTTATAATGATTTGTACAAGAATTTTTATAATATGTTATACAGAAGGTACCTTCATAGTTCTTTATAGTCAGGTAGACTTGTTATTTAAAGATAAATAAAAATGAGACAAAAAACCTTTTCTTTATACATTAAGGAAGCTCTAAACACTGCACACTAAAGAGTACTATTTGTAGGGTAGTTTTATTGAGTTAGAGTGATCTGCCCTTAGAAGAAAAAATAGAATAAATGGGAATCTACAGTTAATGACACAAATTGTTATGAATTAAAGTATTCTTAATGTTATGTTAGACTAAGAATAAGTAATTAAATACATCATTTCCATTAATTTTTCTGATGTAAGTAAACAACAGCGATTTCTGTTCACAGATAATTCATTGTCTTTGAACATTTTTCCTGCAGAAATAGGGCAGGTACCCTATGTTGAAAATGAACTAGATACACTGAATATGTGCACCTTTATATGATATATTTTTCTCAAAGTCCAAAAAGCATTTTTTGATTAGTGTTTAGAGCTTCCTTAAATGTTCTTCTTAGACCAAGAGAGGCCAATGTGAGAGGGAAAAAGGTTGGTTTACCAATAGTGCTCAAGCACTATTGTTTTGTTTAGTTAACAAGATAAAAGTTACAAATTTGGGCAGATACAGGCAATTGAATAGATCTAGTTTAAAATTTATTAAGAAGCACTAAAATAATTATATTGCTGATCCCTTATCATTGTATTTCTTGCTTTTGGGCAATAAAATTCATCTTTAGTTTGTTTTATTTTATACTTCTATGGATTTTTTACAGTGTTGTATTATACTCAGTTGATGGTTCTTAATATATAATCAGCAAGTTGTGTTGATACTTAGAAGGGATTTATGCAACCATTTATCAGTCTAAGGTTTAACTGTCAGTCAGACAATCATTAGTGTTTTTGATAAACAATGGAGTATGAATTGATGGTTGATACAAAATTAATTGATACAAGTGTGTTATGTCCTGACTTGTGACATTTATGGTTTCTTAAAACATTTTTGTGAGGACATCTTTTGTTTAACTTGGTCCAGTAAATGTCTTATTGTCCTGTACTCCGTCCAGTAATTAACCTTTAGGTGTCCAATAAGATTCAACTTAATGGACAGCTCCAGTAACATTGAATGAGCAATGTAGGAAGTTAGCATCATAATATTAATATTTTACAATTTCACAAAATATTTCAATTCATATTCAAATTATTACAAAATTATAAACAGAATGTGTCTTAGGAAATGTAGGAGAATCTGTCATGCCAATCTACATATCATAAATTCACCTTTCATTATTATTCATTTCACTTTGATTGATACACTTGAATAAAAACCATTTACAGAATCTTGGGAACACGAAAGACAATCAGATTCTGCAATCACCCTTTGGCTGTTTTGGGGGATTGAACATCCATTTTCCTGTCTTTACCTATTCCACTAACCAAATTCAATTGCTTTTTGGATGTGAGCCTGTATTTTTGGGTCATGATTTGAATAGTAGCTTGTTCCACCCCAGCATTGTTTGAGGAAGTTGCTGCAGCTGCTTTTAAGGAGTGGTTGGGGTAAAGTCCTTCTTAACATGGCAATTTTGTAATGAAAAACTGTTTATTGCACACACAGAAATATCAAAATATCTCCCAATTTCAGAGTAGAAAACTTCAAGATTAAGTTTGAATTTTGCATTCTCCATTAATGACATTGTCAAAAAAAATATCTGAATCTGAAGAGGTCTTTATTTTAAACAAAATTTGTGTTTCAAAATGTATCTTATCCATTGTGTTCATTGTAAAATGAATAAATTGTTCAGTAGCTACTATACATGAATAGACAATAAAGGTTGTCTGATTGCATGGGGCAAGAAATTTTTCATTTCATTGAACACTTGCTTTCTTCTAAATAACTGCATACCTGGTTTTGGATTTGGAATTCCTTGGTAGCATTTCTAGATTATACCATTCACTCAAAATTTATTTTAAAATGGGGGAGGGGTATACTTAAAGGCACTGTGAGTTTATGATGAAGACAATCAGTATCTCCCTGGAAACAAATATTGAATAAAAATGATCAGGTAGGGTTGATTTTGTTGGATCAGTCAGTTTTTTTGTTGTTGGCCCAAGTTGAAGTTTGAATTCCCTCAATCCCCGATATATTCATGGTGTCAGATAATAAATTTTGTTTAATTTGATAATTTTAGACATGATTTATAGTAACTGTTTCAGTGGACACGGGACACAGTGGACTGTTAGATGCACCTCTTGTGACTTTAGCTCCCAAACTTTACTCTAGTAAACCCAAGTATGACAGGTAAGATATATACCTCATCATTTAGGCCAAGGGAAGGAAGGAAACCTTTATACATCACTCAGTGTAGTCATTTTAGCTCACCTGAGGAAATATTAGTGGAAAAGTGATATTGAGCTCACCTGAGTTTCATGGCCTTGATCACATTTTTTTCAAGTAAAGAACAGAAGGGCCAGGTGACTTAAGTAAGCATTGTTACACATGGGTCCTGAGTTCTTCATATCATTTAAATGATTCAAAAAATATTTCCTGTATAAATTTTCAAGGAAGTTTTTATTGAGAAACTTTCATTTACAATGCTCAAAACATTATTCTGTAAAATATTGTGTTGCTTGTAACTATGTGTTTGTCAATGGATGTGTTTTCTTTTTTTTCCAATATTATTAGTTTAATTTTGTTCATATTTGATTAAACAATCTAAGGGTGCAAGTGGAATATTTTGTGTTAAATGTAGTGGGAAAGATTATCATTTCAAAGAAAAAAAATCACATTCTGCATTTACTTAAAATACTTGCATATAGACAAATACTTGTCTATTTCAATAACTAAAAGTTTTCTTTTGTTTCCAGCTTACTGCATAAAAAGTTGAGTAAGTAGTTTATTGTAGATGTATACAAGTTTAAATGTTGAAATATCATGAAGTATTAAATAGGTATGCATTGTGTTTAAATTTACCCATATATGCATTTTTTCTGATTAATCGGTTACAGATTTTCTTACCGATTACCATCATTCGGACTGAGTAACTGGTTGACCAATTACAAATTGACATCCCTAATTTAGTCCCAGATATGATTTTATGTTAAAATGCATGAAAGAAAAGCATTCCAGAAATCTGAAACATAGTTTTTAAATCAAAGTTTTAAATTAATTAGATATTCAGATGTCTTCATTTCAATCTGTTTGAACCTTGCTAATTGCTATTGTTTAATCAAAATTTAGGAGAGAAAAACTCAAACCTGAGGAGACACATAGTGGATTCTGTACATCAGATGTATTTGGTGTCTGCTAAAGATTTACACAATACAAGTCTTCAGCTGCATAAGTCACAGGCACTGATAATGGTGAGTTTATAATGTCTCTCTCTCTGGGTTACAACACGGATAACACTCTCTGGGTTACAACACTGATAACACTCTCTGGGTTACATCATGGATAACACTCTCTGGGTTACAACAAGGATAACACTCTCTGGGTTACATCATGGATAACACTCTCTGGGTTACAACAAGGATAACACTCTCTAGGTTACAACACTGATAACACTCTCTGGGTTACAACAAGGATAACACTCTCTAGGTTACAACACTGATAACACTCTCTGGGTTACAACACGGACAACACTCTCTAGGTTACAACACTGATAACACTCTCTGGGTTACAACAAGGATAACACTCTCTGGGTTACAACACAGATAACACTCTCTGAGTTACATCACGGATAACACTCTCTGGGTTACAACACGGATAACACTCTCTGGGTTACAACAAGGATAACACCTCTGGGTTACAACACGGATAACACTCTCTGGGTTATAACACTGATCATGATAAGTTTGTGCTGTCAGTAAGTCTCTTTAGGTTTCAATACTGATTATGCAGGGATGTGATTTTCCACAGAAACATTGATATCCACAGCTTTGAAAGTCAAAATGGTCATTCTTGAGATCAGTGCAGATCTTATGAGAAAATAAGGGCCAAGAGTGGGGGGGGGGGGGAGGAGGGGGTAAAGGTACTATATCTTTTAAAATGACGTACGTACTGATCACTATAGCAAATATTGATGGCATATTTATTAATTAAATATCAACAGCAACAAAGCTCTTGAATACAAGAAACCTTAGGACCTTCTGAGAACCTTTGTCTTCCTGGACCCCTCAACAGGGCTCTGGCCTGCACTGCTGGGGGCCTATAGCACCCCCAGTTTCCCAACACTGATTGATTTCCTCCTTTTCCTTTCTCTGCCAATGACATCTCTGTTATGGTAACTTTGTAGTGTCAGTTACTCTCTTTAAATCTCAGGGACTGATTATTGTAAGTTTGTACTGTAAGTACAGTCTGTAGGTCACAAGACTAATTGTGGTAAGTTTGTGCTGTCAGTAACTCTCTAGTTCACAGGCGGCATTAGCATTTGAAAATAGAAATTTGATTGATTGATTGATTGTGTGTTGTCACAGGCGGTATTAGCATTTGAAAATAGAAATTTGATTGATTGATTGATTGTGTGTTGTTTTACATCCCATTTGAGAATTTTTTCACTCATATAGAGACGTCACCATTTACCGGTGAAGGGCTTCAAATTTAGACCTTTACTCGGCACTCAGGGCCATTGAGCAGTGAGGGTTCTTTATCGTTTCAACACCTACTGTGACACTGGGCCTAAGAGTTTAAGGTCTCATCCGAAGGACCTGCAACTTTCACTTCAAAGTGCTGAGCACCTGGTGAAGGAATAGTTGCTACCTATTTTTTATCAACTTAGGTCAGTCATGGCCGTGATTCAAATACACGACCTTCCGATCACGGAATATAGAATTTTGAAAACATAACAATATATTTACATTTCCAAAAATTTTTTTTCCTTAAGATTAGAAAAAGTTCATGTTCTCATGAACTACAGTGGGATGAGTAAGAATATTTCCATTGTGATGTGATTGAAGTAAAAAAATAGTGCAAACTTTTTTTTCAAAAATGAATGTTGGATGACAAAAGTATGTTTTAAGTCATCAGAAAAATAATGTAATATAAGATATGAAATTTTTGAGAATTCATGAAGTACATACTTCACACCTGCATATTCATCATGAAGCGCTAATGCGCTTCATGAAATATGCAGACGTGAAGCGTCATAGTTCATGTCCTCATAAATTCTCAAAAATTAAATTCATCTCTTAAGTTACCTCCTTTTTGGATGTCTTATGATTCATTGGTAGAATATTCTCAAATGTTACATGTTATATGTTTGCAGTTGATTTTTTCTGTGCTAGATATCATAATTAGTTTCTTGCCCATAAAAGAAAATATCAGAGAATCTGAGAATATAAAAGAAATGATCAGCAGAAACAACAGGAAATATATGCCAGACATTGATAAGACTTATCTAAAGCAGATTGATGTTAAATCAGTAAAGCTTAATTGCAGACTTGGCTAACATATTTCAATGCAATGCTATGGAATCTGAAAATTCACAACATATTTTAGTTTTCAAAAATTTTTCCTTGAATTTTCTGCAACATGAATAAACATCCCACTTTCTTAATACAACATACATGTACATGATTTATAACCAATCAAAGACTGCCTCTCTAGACAATGCAAAAATAGGTCAAGTAATTAAATTCCACTGGCTTTAGAGCAAACTTGTAAATATACAAGTGTACCTTACAAACATAAAGCTTGACTATTTAACTTCCCACAGACTGCCACTGGCTCGTTCATTTTGCATTACTTCCATTTTAATACTGGTTGTTTGAGTACAGAGGGAAAATTACTTATAATGAGGTTTATCTTGAAGAGATTAGCTGAAGCAAAAACTCAAATTATATACCCTAATATGGAACATCCTTTGATTGGTTTACTTGTGATGAAGAAGGAAGAAATAAACACTAATAAAAGTTTTAAAGAAAATTGCTCATATGTTAGAACATGTAACATGAAATTTTCTGATGTATTTGTAGGATGTTAGTCATAACATGAAGCAACTGACCAATGACTTGTTTCACCTAGAGGACAAAGTGGACATTGTGACGTCATGTCAAATCTTGCCAGATATTAAGTTGTGTTCCTCTGTGCAATAAATAAGATGACCAGAGAGAGAGAGAGATAAAGAGAGATAGAACTTTGACTGCAATATCTGCATTAAAAATTGCTAATTAAATTTGTAAACATTTTGTGATTTAATCATGTACCTTACATTTATTGTAATACTCTGAATTAGGAGATATAAAAAGAAATAGATCTAATGTATTTATTTATTAGCTCACCTGAGCTGAAGGTTCAAGTGAAATTTTCTGATAAAAATGCCCATTGTCTGTTGTTGTTGTCATCATTGTTGTAAACTTTTAACAATATCATCTTCTTCTCTAGAACAACTGGGCCAATTTCAACCAAACTTGGCACAGAGTGTCTTTGGATAAGGGGGATTCTAGTTTGTGAAATGAAGAGCCACATCCTCCTCGAAAAGGAGATAATTAAGAAAAGTAAAACTTGGGTGGGGTCATTTAAAAATCTTCTCAAGAACCATAGGGCCAGAAAGGATGAAACTTTTATGAAAGTTTCCTGACAAAGTGTTAATTTTAAGTTTGTTCAAATCATGACCCCTTGGGGCATGGTGGGACCACTATGGGTGATCAAAGTTTTACATTGGTATAAATAGGAAAAATCTTTAAAAATCTCATTAAAAGGAAGGCAATGTTTAATCATATTTATATGGAAGCATCCTCAGGTAGTGTAGATTCAACTTTATTATGACCCATTGAGTATGATGGAGCCACTATGGGTGATCAAAGTTTTACATGGGTATAAATAGGAAAAAATCTTTAAAAATCTTCTTCTCAAGGATAGGAAAGCCATGATTAATCATCTTTATATGGAAGCATCCTCAGGTAGTATATATTCAGGTTTGTTCAAATCATGACCCATGGGGGTAGGGTGGAGCTACAATGGGCAATGGAAAGTTTTACATGGGTAAATATTTGAAAAATTACTCTTCCTATTCTCTAAGTTAAAATTTCTTCATATTATGATCTGACATAAAAATCATTTCTGAATAAATAAGCAGCGCTTCATACCTCATACTATTTTTCATTTGAATCTGATGCTGTATAGCTCTTGATGAAAATCAACGTTGGGAAGTTTGAAAAAAAATTGATGAAATTTAGAGCAGAAGGTCATTAGTCCTTAAATTCCATTTCGACCCCCCCTTTTTTCGTTGTAAACCGAGATGGGTTTTCTGACGGATAGGGTAAAATTCTGTCTTACAGTGCAATCAGATATATAAATCAGTTTATATTGTAAGGGTTCAATTTCAAAATTAACATGTCATGTATTAGTTGTTTATATGTATCTCATAAAAATCACTATCAGGGAATTAATTAAGAAAAATGCCTTTGAAGATGTTTGTTTTAATTTTCAGACAGGCCCGTAGGAAGCAATTTCAGTTTCGGGGGGGGGGGGGGGGAGGGGGTGACACAGCTATACATTTTCAGTCGTTAAAACGAATTCGACAAATCGTTATATCGAATTCATATTCGAAATAACGAATTGTCGCATTCTTTAAACGAATTTAATTCTTTATAACGATTTTTTGGATTCGTTTTAACGAATTCAAGAAATCTGTTATAACAAGATTAAATTCGTTTGATCATATTCGACATTTCGTTATATCCGCGGATTCAAAAATATTTTCGATAGGTCCGAAATGGACTTCCGTAAACACAGCAGAATTTTATTAAATATTTGAAGCAGCTGGAATACATGTTCATGTATCCAATAGATGTATATACTATACAGTTATTTTAAAATGAATAATTTACTAGAAGAAATTAATACAAACATTTTTCAAGCACAAAAATTTTAATTGAAAAAAAAGACTTTCCATGTTCTTTCCATACATTACTGTTATGTGTTTAATAATAGCACCGTTATACTAGTAACACATTTTATATCAATAATAGATATAGCTCAAAAACTCATTATACCGCTAAAATTATTTATTTTTGTCTCAGCGTAATCGATGTCAAAGAGAAAATGAACATGATTAAGTTAGGATACTGATTTTTTATATACGTCATGAAATTGATGATGCATACCTAGCTGGTGGTTGTATGGTTCCGAGAGCTTGCCTCTTAAATCTTCTGGATCTCTTCAGAGTTTTTGATTTCTTTGTAACACTTTAGTCACGAATCGAAGATGCTGAGCCCATTTTCTTTAATTTCTCATGCCATCCTCCCATGCTGTTGTTGGTCCATTAATAATTAAATTAAAATTTCATAGTTAACTGATCACATTAGATAAAATTATTAATCACTTCATGCATATTTATCACCATTCAAAATTCAAAGTGATTTTTTTTTTATCACATTTTATCTTTTTTTCCCCTTCTTTGCTTTCTACAGTCTATTTTTATTTAATTTTATTTTCATAATCCGTGATGAAAACGTATTAATGATTGTATTCAATCTTGTTTATTGGGTTTATACAGTCAGGTTGTACAAGTAAAGCTACCCGTACCCACTAAGATGGCCTCTTTATCACTGTGCCTAATTACTTATTGTATTTGGCGAGTAGCCTTTCGGGGAACACATCAATACTGCACGGTATACGCCTGCAAAAGTCACCATCTTAGTCTTTGGTAAAAGGATCATTTTTCATCATTTGGAGCATTATATTTTTATTTATGTATTTCCGGGGGGGGGGGGGTTATGTTTTCGGTTGTATAGATTAATTCCCTATTAAATCTCTATGTTTAAAATTTTCTGATGATCTGAATATCTGAGTGAGCTATGATTTGTATTTCCTCATAATCTGAGTACCTGAGTGAGCTAGGTTCGCATTTCCTGAAAATTTGATTACCTGGGTGAGCTAGATTAGTATTTCCTCATAATTGAGTAACTGAGTGAGCTATGATAGGTATTTCCTTATAATGTGATATGCTATGATTTTTGAAAGTGACTGATTATGTGAGTAAGCTATGAATTTTGTTGGTGACTGATTATGTGGGTGAGCTGTGATTTTTATTAGTGACTGATTATGTGAGTAAGCTATGATTTTTGTTAGTGACTGATTATGTGAGTAAGCTATGATTTTTGTTAGTGACTGATTATATGAGTAAGCTATGATTTTATTTCCTTATAATCTAAATACCTGAGTGAGGTACGATTTTCATTTCCTGATAAAATGAGTACCAGTCCTCTGAGTTTATTGGAAGCTGAGGGCGGGATGAAATTGCACGTTGAAGCAAGTTTCAAGCATGCTCATTGGTTTTGAGAGCGGGAGAGCAACTCAGACCGCCCACGCTCAATAGTTTCTCTGTTAAGTAGGTCTCTACTACATGGGTTCTGTGTGGGCGTTCAAACAATAGCATTTCCAATTGCTCCTGCACATGGTTTACAATAGGGTCCAATATATCAACCCTATATCTAACACTTGTAAGATTTCCTTGGATAACGTGTATGTATGTTCTTGCGCCGATACTATTGCCATCCAAACCACGACTGAGCCCCCTCCAAGATAATTGTTCTGCAATACAACAATATCTTTTCATGGGCCAAAAACGTCCAGGACCATCGTAGAAAACGGTGACTCATCTGTGAAGAATGGGTCCGGTGACATGCAGATGGTCCTTCGTTCAGTGTGTGCTCTTGTTTCAAACGAGGACGAATGGTTGGTCGTTTTAAGGTTAGTAGTTTTTGAAAATTTGTGCTTACTGTCATATTCCATTTGCTAATCTGAAGTGGTTACTGAGTTGTACAGCAGATTGGAATCTACTGATTCCTCCGCGCCATGGAGGTTAAATACCAGTCTTGAAAAAGTGAAGTATCCATTGGAGGACCTTATCGTGGTCTCTCTGCAACATTTCCAATCTGCTTAAAGCAATTTCAAAGTCAAGAAATTACACTCTGACTGACATTTACATTTGTAGCAACAATTCTTCGCGGCTTCTAATTGTATTAAATGACGTTGCATAGTGTGAAATAACCTTAACGTGCAAAAAATGATAATAACTTCATGAGAATTTTTGAAATGTTTTTTTTTTTCAATTTCACTCTGATGAACATTCATTTTAACCTTTTGTCTACATTCACTACACTGGCTCACACTGAACAACATTAAGTATATCTGTGTTACACACACAATGAACACCAATGGGGGACTAATGTTCGTGGATTTTGTGGGTCACCCTTACCCACGAATTTACTTTCCCAAGAACGGTTTTTTTGGTTGAAAACATATTGATTGAGGAATATTGATTTAGGAATGTTAGGGTAAAAAATGAACTTGTCAATATGCTACCAAGCCGATTATACACTCTAAAATCATGATCCCTAACTTTTTAACCACAAAATTCATTTTCAAATTTTGTGTGTCTTTGTTTCGATCAAGATTTTTTTTTCATAAACACATGATAAAGGCGGTGGAATTGTTTTGTATGAAGATTGGAAATAATTTTGTTTTTAAATAACGTGGATAGATAAAAATGACACAGATAAACATAGTGAATTGAAATTACATGGGATATGTTAAGTATTACAAGCACTTCCTCAAACCCACAGTCCATTCAGTTAATTGAAGATGTTGAAAATTCAGTAAAATCTCCCTTTGTCCATTGTCCAATCAATTACCATGTTTATGAAGTCCATAAACTGATATACAAAACAAAATCATTCGTATGCTGTTTCACTTGTTTAATTCATTGTAATTTATTGTTTAGTCGAGCTTTGTTTAATTCATTGTAATTTATTGTTTAGTCGAGCTTTGTTTAATTCATTGAAATTTTTTGTTTAGTCGAGCTTTGTTTAATTCATTGTAATTTATTGTTTAGTCGAGCTTTGTTTAATTCATTGTAATTTATTGTTTAGTCGAGCTTTGTTTAATTCATTGTAATTTATTGTTTAGTCGAGCTTTGTTTGATTCATTGTAATTTATTGTTTAGTCGAGTTTTGAAATTGAGATCCTTTTGTATCCTATCTACAACAAACGGACGGAGTGTGTTAATAACACATATAACTAAGAGAAGATATGAACACATTGCAAGACATATAGCCGATGTACTTGGAATCATGTCCATTGTGGCATAGTGTTTTATATCCCACACAATTGTGTCGAATTGCAGAAGCGTTCCCACCGTGCATAATACGTGAAAAATCTGGTGTCCTTGCCCAATAATGTCAACCTTGCCTGGAATGAGTTTATCTGGAACATGACTGGAGAAGAAGAACACAGACGTAGTTATAAAAGCCACAACGTTCGAATGGTGGCTAAGTGAACTCAGATGACACTGGGGGTCGCTTACACAGTTAACGTATCTAGGAAGCACGAGAGAAAACACCAGCACGGTCTGTGTACCGAAGGAAAACAATTGCCACAATTTCCTCCGGAAAGGATAAGGTCGTGTGTACTTCAGCTTGGCTATACAGCAGCAGAGGCACCCAGTTGCACTCATGATGACCACGGAGGGAAGAAAGTAACGCCGCAGTGTTACAAAATACTGGTGATAACAACTGACGTAAAATACGTATATACTACAGCCCAGTGTATAGAAGCCTATTCCTGCATAATCTATTTGGAAGCAGAGATAATGGAGGCCGGGAGATTTGGAATGTAACGTATGAGCTAGAGTACTACAGAATGTATAAGCCAGACAACACACACTGAAAGCTGTAATAACCGGAAGGAAATCTGAGCTGGAGGAAGGGTCATAAAGCAGGCTCAGCCATCTGTAGAGGATCAGGAAAAAGCCTACAAGATGTGTCCATATATTGATTGTTTCATTGTGAATATGAAGAATGCTAGCAAAGTAGTAAATAAACCCCTGTCCTGAGGGTCGGTAGCCAGATAATATCCCGGGCTCTCGAAACAGGAGATCCACTTGTTCGGACGAGAGAGTCGGCTGCACTCTGGCCTGTGCCACGTGTCTTCTAACCAGACAAAGAAGCTTGTCTTGTCCCATCTGTGGTACAGATGTAACTGAAAAACAAGTTTTAGTGTCTTTTCAGTAAAGTGGTTTCTCAGTCTGCATACAAGCAAGAATTGATACTCGAGTTTCCCAGTCTTATAAGTAAAAGAGTCGAGGTTTCCTCTGTCCCTTCATTGATTATAATAGAATTTTTACTTTCCCTTGCCAAAATAAATCTTACTCTACACATAAATTCATTTTTATAGTTGTATTTGTAGTCGTAAAGTGTTTCATCACCTCAAGTGAATATCGATATATGAATGTACATGCACATAAAATTCATTAAAATGCTTTTCTATGAAATATATTGAAAAAGTTGCACCACTCACTTTCGTCCAGTAAAGGGTTCATTCAGCAATGAACAGAATATGAATGTCTTATAGAGCAAAATTTTAAGTTCAAATATAGATATCTTTGTGGTACAAATTTTGTATCACCATATTGATATGTTCGATAATTTCAACTCTTTTAACCTTGTTAACGATCTTCTAAAAAGTTAATATTTGCTTGACATAAAGCTACAAACAATAATATTATTGTCATTTTAAAACACAAATCATTTTTCATCGATAATAATTGTTATTTTAAAACATAAATCATTTCTCATCAATTATTGTTACTTTAAAAAGAATTCATTTCCCATTTTAAACACAGGAGTCTTGTATACTATATATATATATATATATATATATATATATATATTTGTATATTGATCTAATTATTAAATAATTTGATAGTTACAATGTCAAAACTTTTTCCATAACGCCACTAGGAAGCAGCCGTGATTGTATTACAAATCAGATTGGTCTCATGCAGTCTTTAAATTCAAAATGAGGATTTAAAACCGTCAACTGGTTTAACTATTGTGCTTGATTTATCAGTTGTTCCCCGCACATGGGGGCTCCATGTTTCGAACTAATTTTACTTATTTCGTTTAGAATATATTTCCTCATCGGGAGTATTTTTTTTTACATCATAAAGGTATAATATATCAGAAACTTACCCTTGTTTATGTATAGCCCGGATCACTTCTCGTTGTAACTAGGTAAACAAAGAACCTTGCCGTGTACTTACTGCGTCAATGAACATTTATAAGGTATGTCACTGTAAGACCCCATATGGTTATGTGTGAAAAGACAACCAAAATAACTCTCCGTAAAAAAAGTCTGTGATATATTCTGATTTATACATTATTTAATAAGTAACAAACTAAAGAAGGGGGAAGGGGGGCAAACTTAGAGTTACCTCTCTTTCCACAGGTTTTGTGTCCAATTCTATGATCTATCTCCACACACACACACGTAAACACTCTCACACAAACACCCTCACACACACACACACACACACACACACACACCCTCACAGAGGAAATAGAATGGACACGAAACCCCAGATTTGCGACGATGTAAGAAAATGATCATTGATTTGTCATTTTTCTTTTTGTTATTTGTTTGCGTCCCATAATATTTCCCATAAGGATTTGAGGTTTAAGTTAAATAAAACTTTTGTTGATATGACCTTTGAACAATTGAGCAAAATCTCATCTTCTAACTCAGGAAAACTTTTTTTTATAGTAAAATCTTAAACTGCACTGATTATAAATTGCAGGATTACTTAAAGTTTCCTTTAAAAAAGCATGAAAGATCACAGCTAACAAAATTAAGAATCAGTGCACATTCACTATTCATTGAAACAGGTAGATACTGTAAACCAATAATCCCTAAGGAAAACCGTTTATGCTATGCTTGTAAATTATTGGTTGAAAATGAAAAAAATTTTGTACTTTACTGTCCTGTGAATGACAATCTTCGATTTCAATATTGTGATATTTTTGATGATAAATTATACTGTGGTACTGATCCCATTATAGAAATTATTAACCCATGTGAATATAATACTACAAAACGTTTATGTATCTACTTAGATAAATGCTTTATGCAGAGGAAACAATGCCAAGGACTATAAGGAACTGTGTAAAATTGAACTGCATGCAATTATGTTATAACATTCTTCTCTTTTTTTTCTGTTAGCAGGAGATTGGAGGAGAGTACAACTATTCCTACAGGCTAGCAGGAGATTGGAGGAGTGTACAACTATTCCTACAGGCTAGCAGGAGATTGGAGGAGTGTACAACTATTCCTACAGGCTAGCAGGAGATTGGAGGAGAGTACAACTATTCCTACAGGCTAGCAGGAGATTGGAGGAGTGTACAACTATTCCTACAGGCTAGCAGGAGATTGGAGGAATGTACAACTGTATGCATAATAAAGACTATGAGTATTTATAAACAAGCTAATTCAGAGAATTTGTGTCCCCCGCTTAGGGACAAAAGAAGAGCATGCGCAGTTCGGGCGGGGTGGGGGTGGGGGGGGGGGGTCGGACCCCCCCCCCCCCTGTATTTCTAGAATTATTAAATGTATACATGTATATTGAAGCAAATAAGAAATGCCAATATGTATATAAAGATTTGATAGCTTGATATTCTTTAATATGTGTATAGAAGATTCTTTTTATGTAGAATATTTATCACACAGTAATAATGATTTTATGAGTTTGTAAAAGCCAGACGTCATAACATTTTCATTTCACATGAGTAATAATGATTTTATGAGTTTGTACAAGCCAGACGTCATATCATTTTCATTTCACATGCTGAATACTCTCATTTAGTAAATGCAAAAAAAAAAGTTATGATGTCTGGCGTGTACAAACTCATAAAATCATTATTACAGTGTGATAAATATTCTGTATATTAAAAATAATCTCCTATACACATATTTAAGAATAAGCAATGAAATCTTTATATCCATATTGGCATTTTTTAAATTTGCTTCAAAATACATGTATACATTTAATAATTCTACAAATACAGGGGGCAGTGTGACCCCCCCCCCGAACTGCGCATGCTCTTCTTTTTTCCCTAAGCGGGGGACACAAATTCTCTGAATTAGCTTGTTACGTATAATACAGGTTGTCGGCGGACTTTATATTCTTATTACATCTATTAGAACTGTTTAGTAAAGGCTAAACAAGCTAATACAGAGAATTTGTGTCTCCCGCTTAGGGGAAAAAAGAAGAGCATGCGCAGTTCGGGGGGGGGGGGGGTGGGTGGGTGGGTGGGGGTCACACTGCCCCCTGTATTTGTAGAATTATTAAATGTATAAATTATTGAAGCAAATTATAAAAAAGCCAATATGGATATAAAGATTTGATTGCTTATTCTTTAAAATGTGTATAGAAGATTCTTTTTTATATACTATATACAGAATATTTATCACACTGTAATAATGATTTTATGAGTTTGTACACGCCAGACATCATAACTTTTTCATTTCACATGTTGAATAGTATCATTTAGTAAATCAAAAAAAAATATTAAAAAAGAAAAAGAGAATCGTCCAGGGATTTACATGTAACCCGGGCCTCTCGCTTGCTAAGCGAGCAACATACCACTAGACCACGGAGGCACTTGATTATTAACTCGCATATAATGTTTATATTGACATTTTATATTGTCAAAATTTTAATCAATACATGATGTCTAATTTAGCCTTTACTAAACAGTTCTAATAGATGTAATAAGAATATAATATCCGATCACAACCTGTATTATACGTAATAACTCTCCACAAGCCCCTGTGCTAAAAATAGTGCCACGCGACTTTTAATACAATAGATGTAAATAATAATTAAAAAACGGGGCGGGACACTTTGAGAGGGGCCCTAGGGAGTTATGGTATGAAATTTCATTGCAAAAGCTCAAAAGGTTCTTGAGATATCGCCCGGAAACAAAAGTGTTATACACAGACGGAATGTATAAATTTACGACCTTGAACTCTGACCTTTTGACCTCAAAATCAATAGAGGTCTTCCTTAGTCCACAGGGAGTTAGTAAAATTTCATTGCAAAAGCTCAAAGGATTCTCGAGATATCGCATGGAAACGAAAGTGTTAAAACAGACAGAATTTATGAATTTATGACCTTGACCTTTGACCTTTTGACCTCAAAATTAATAGGGTTCTTCTTTAGGCCATAGGGAGTTGCTATGCCAAATTTCATTGCAAAAGCTCAAAGGGTTCTTGAGATATCGCGCGGAAACGAAAGTGTTACAGACAGACAGAAATGCAGATGGACGGACGGACGGCTGGACGGACGGACGGACAGACAGACCCAAATTAATATGTCCCACTTTCAGTGAAAGCGGGGGACAAAAAGAAGAAAGTAGAATGCCATTCGATACTATATCATCATTTTTAGTCGATTACAGGTCCGTTGGAACCGGGGTGGAGAAGGGCTGCCAGTATATAAAGAACTTTACTATGCATGTAGAAAATAAAACAATTCGCAATAATTTTGCCAGTATGTACTTCTGCAGTATATATACTCTTAAATGAATAAATTTTGTCAATAAACTCTGAAAGGCTTAACCAGAGTTACTGCTTGCATGTTCAATATTGTATCGCATGTGAGATGATGACAAGTGAATTTGATGCAAAGCATCAAATCGGCCGCAGAAATGTTTAGCATTTTAAAGTATTTCCATGTGAAAGAGTCCAAAGAAAATGAATTTCAACGTAGAAAAAGTATTTGATACAATTTTCTTGCAAAACTATACACATAGTTTACTTTTCTGTGTATTTTTTAAATGCCACTTTTCAGTGAATTGTTAACTATTAAAGTCATAGAAATAGAATTATAGGATTATCATCAACAAATTATTTTTTTACAAGTATAACATATCTAAGATTAATAATTATGAATGTCTCAATGATTTCTGACAAAAAGGACGTACACACTTTTCTCGTGCTGATACACTTTGTCACGTGGTAATGCCGATGTTTTCGTTGTGATCGATATGTTTCACAAGAAATGCTAAATTGCAGAAAAAATTATCGTTGTGTCATTTGCAACTGTAGTGTAAAAACAAAATTTACTTCTAAAATTTCTCAATATTTATTCATCATTTTGTCACTTTTATTGATATCCAGAAACTC